AGCAGGAACATATCACAGTATGATCAAATCCATGGGAAGTGAGAACAGTTCTGTGCTCTGGCCTCTCACGGCGGTGACAGCTCTTGATCTCCTTCCAACACGGTGTCTTCCGAGAACTGCAGAAGAATGATGAGACTCTCCCCTCCCCAGCGCTCAGACACCAGCCCTGAATCTTCCTGGTGTTCTCACCGCCCTGTCCGGTCACACTTCCAGGGGTGACGAGCCGCTGGCACACCAAGAAGCTCCCCAGGAAGACACACAAGGGCTTGCGCAAAGTTGCCTGCATCGGAGCCTGGCACCCGGCCCGGGTTGGCTACTCCATTGCTCGGGCTGGCCAGAAGGGCTACCACCACCGCACGGAGCTCAACAAGAAGGTATGGCCCAGATGGGCTCCTTCAGAGCACCACTGCGCCTTCCTGCCTTCCTTCCTTCCACGCTGTCACCATCCTTTGCACCGTGGCCTCTGTTTCCTCCAGCTTCTCAGATGTTTCCCTAGAGATCTGCACTGCTGTTTTTCTCCACCCCTTTCCCTGTTGTTCCCTGCTCAAGGGACACGTCGCAGGGGGCACATCTTGGTGAAAACCGCATTGTCCCTGTGACATCCCTCACTGAGGGGGTGGGAAAGTCGCCATCTCAATTTCCTTTCTGTTCCTAGATTTACCGCATTGGCCATGGGATCCACGTGGAGGATGGCAAAGTGGTGAAGAACAATGCCTCGACGCACTACGATGTCACGGAGAAGACCATTACGCCTCTGGTAAGGGCTGAGGGTGTAAACAGGGCTGTGACTGGCCCTGGCTACAGGAACCCTAGCCAGGGAAGTAATTCCTTGGCTGGAGACAGCTGCATAAGAAATGATTTGAAGGAAATTGACTGAAGGAAATGCAGTGATTCCTTTCCTCATGTTTTGGACATGGAAAACCATCTCTGTGAGGTGTTTTTTTAGGCCCATTGGTAGACCCAAACATATAACTTTCAGCTGATAACTTGGGTAGGAACTGAGAACTTTGTTTAAAAAGAAAAAAGAAGTATAAATGACATTAAAAATCTGATACTTAACATAAATGTTTGTTACTTGGTTTAAAAATTCACTTTTGCTTATTAAAAGCTGTTAACTTGGGAGTCTAGCCAGCTTTGCTTTCTGTTCACCCACATCCTTCAGGGAAGGAAGCAGGGCTGCCGGTTCCCCAGCTCTTACGGGCTGCTGCTTAGCCGGGATCGTGCAGTCAGTGGGGCTGACATGCTCTGGTGGTCCTGAGCAGGCAATCTGAAGGGTGCAGAGTGTTGTTAGCTGGAAGGAGTGTCAGTCACTACCTTCTCCTTCCCTAGAAAATGCCACCTGTGGACACGCCTGCTCCCATCCAGCTCTCCTGCCTGCCAACCCTCTTTCTGCCTCTCCCCACAGGGTGGCTTTCCTCACTATGGGGAGGTCAACAACGACTTCCTCATGCTGAAAGGCTGCGTCATGGGCACGAAGAAGCGTGTGCTCACCCTCCGTAAGGTGAGAGCGCAGCCGGCGCTGGGGAGGGACGGGCTGTAGCTCTCCACGAACAGATTCACCACGTGGAGAATGCCACTGCCTCCAAATGCTGGGCAGGGAGACTGGTTGGGTCCTTGATGCTGTGTTGTAGAGGGCACATGGCACGTGAGGTGGTGCTCAGTGGGACATTTGCAGCTAGATGGTTTGTGGCAGTGTGCAGTTGCATGTACTCTCTCTGGAGACAGAAGCTGCAAGCCTTTGAGGGCTGTGATGGGGGGCCCAGAAATGGAAACCTGGCCATAAACAGATTGTGAGCAAATGAAATGCTAAGTGAAGAGTAGGCTCATTTCAGAGCTGCTCTGCAATCCAAGGCATCACCAGCCACCTGAGCACCATCTGAGAAGGCAGATTTTCGTGGAGATATTTGTCTAATGGATGCACCTAGGATATTTTGACCCTGCTTCCATCAGAACAGATGTCCAGATTTTCTGTAACGATAAGCCTGATGCATTGTGACTCTTCTTTTCCAGTCCCTTCTGGTGCATACAAGCCGCCGGGCTCAGGAAGCCATTGAACTCAAATTCATTGATACCACTTCCAAGTTTGGCCATGGCTGCTTCCAGACAGCTCAGGAGAAGCGGGCTTTCATGGTGAGTTACGCTCTGCGCCGGCTCCAGCTCCCAGGCCATGCTCGCAGCTGGGGCTAAAGCAACTGATTGACTCAAACCAAGCATCTGCTTCTCGATATAACAACAGCTAAATGGGTGATCGGGATCATCTTGCATAAAAGACAGGCATGAATTCAATTCACACAGCAGATATTATGCTAAGGAAGAACATGATGGTTGTGTGAGTGATCCAAGACAACCCAACTAGCAAATAATATAGCATATGGCCAACCAGTTTCCATTCACCACGGGATGTTTTAAACAAGCAGTTAACTTGGCAGGCACTGTCTTGGACATATGGTCCCTTTCACCCGTAATTGTGCACTTCTTTGATTTGTTTGGAATGATTTATAACTTTAATGTTCTTAAGAGGAAAACGTTGGGTCAAATTCAGACACAAATTTGTGATTCTTTTGTCAGGAAGCTTTCAAAAAGGCCAAGCAGTATATATTTCTTCTATAAATCCAGGGGAAAAAAAAGTTTAAATAAATCCAAAACAAGCAGAGTTTCTTGAATAGTTTGCAACCTACACCAGGCTGGTGCATAAGTCTGAATGTGAAATTGAGGAAGCGTGAAGTAAGCCAGGCCTTAAGCTAGCAAAAATGAAAGAAACAACTACCTGGATACCACGCAGACATAAACGGTGTCTGGATCTGGCCCGTCAGCTAGAAATCCCATGTGAAACTGGCTAAGCCTCCTTAGCCCCGTGAAGGGGATTGGCTATGCAGTGCCTTTGCAGAGCTCTTTAGAGGTTAAGCTGTTTTCCTTTATCTCAGTGTAGGAGCTTGTTCTGTGTTCTGCTCTTGCTGTCGCTGCAAGTCCTGAGTAGCTGTGACGTGTGTCACCCTTAGTGACAGGAGGTGGTTTTACCAGGTTGCAGATGTTTTCTTTGCCATTTTCTACTGTGGGGTGAGAGTTTCCCCCACATATAATGTGGTAGAACTTTACATTTGGCTGGAAGTAGAGGCACATATGTAATTCTTGCCATCTGCTCCCATAGGACTTACTTGGTCTAGGACAACCCCATTTCTTAGCTGGTGGAAACCCCTCAGGCTCTGTTGAGTTGGCTGATGAGAATCTGTGCCTTTGGCCGTGGGAGGCTTTGCCTCTTCCAGGGCTCGTACAGCGCCTCGGCAGCCGCTCCACCATGGCAGGCTCCTGGTAGCATTCATCAGCACAATTACTGCTCCCCTCCACGTCTCCTGACTGCGGGCCAGCACGCCTGGCTCGGAGCAGGTCACTCATTGCTGCTCTCTGACTGCTTTTGTGGTGTCCAGATAAACAAACCCCTTGTGCAAGGGCAGTGATGTTCTGCTCCTGATTCCTGCGGGGCTATGGAGGCCCCAGGGGTGGCTGGTGAATGGCGGCACAGAGCTCCCAGCTGGGGAGCAGAGACCGGGAGCAGCCTTGCACAGCAGAAAGGGGCCAGAGCTGCATTTCTGCTCCCAGCAGCTCAGATGCAGCCTTGTAGGCCAGGTTCGTCTGCCACTAACACTGAGAGCTCTCCTCTCTGCTCTCTTCCAGGGCCCTCAGAAGAAACACTTGGTGAAAGGGAAGCCAGGAGTGCAGGAAGAGCTGTGAGGACTGAGATATGTAAGGCTACCTAACTGGGCACCTTCAATAAATAAAGAGGCTTAAAGCCATGCCTGCTGCCTGTCTTCCTTCTGGAGGGGTGACTTGCCTGTATCCAGTGCTGCCTGTGGGCAGCAGTGTGTCCTCGAGGCTCCTCAGCAGGTCGGGATGGGACAAGTAGCACCTGAGACTGGCCCATATGACAGGGACTAACTGGGACAGCCAAGTGTCTGCTCTGTCCTCTGGATCACTCCTTTGTCCAGTGAATTTTTTTACACTGCCTGCACTCACCCAAACCACAGTGAAGACTCCCCTTCCTCTCCTCCAGAGGAGAGCAGAGCAGGTACCAGCGCTTGTGTCCTCGTTTCCGCTGGGAATACAGGGCCTCCCCATTACCTGCCTCTGCCCAGTCTCACTGACCATCTCTCCCCTTCCCGCCTCTCACACATGCACATTCAGGCACTCCTTTTGCTGAGCTGAGAGTATGACCTGTGGACTTCTCTCTGCACAAAGCCCCACGATCCTGGCCGGCATCCTCAGCAGATGTGGGAACTTGTGTACAATAAGATGGCTGCTAGGTACGACTGGGCAGTGATGGGTTTATTCAGATTTTGGACTCGTTTCCCACCTGTGTTTTCCTTGCAGTCCAGCTGCCTGCGAGGAGGGTGTGATGTGTCTCGGAGCTGTGATGTCTTGGATCAACTCCTTCAGTGCAGAACTGGTCTGGGCATCCTGCACCCTCTTTGGGAACCAGACAGTAGAAAGCCCAGCCCTCCGCTGGTCCAGAGCTGCCCCCTTGACCAGGAGTCCTGGGAACCTGGTAGGAGGTACATGAAGTTCTTGGGTCTCCAGCAAACCACTTGCCCTGGGTCTGGTTCTGCTCTGAACGTGTGCTTGCAGTATTTAAGGAGGAGGCTCGTCTACGAAAGTGCTGAGGATGAGATGAACAGCTCAGACCCCACAGCATAGTCCTGGATGCAGTCAGTGGCCAGGCCCTGGCTGGCTCCGTGTCCCAGCGAGGTCCCTGAGCTCTGTGCAGTGTCTCTGCCCTGCCCGTGGGGCTGTGCTTTAGAGCCTCTTCTCTCCCTTGGCTGGTAGGTCCCTGAGCAGTCCCCCAGTGGGTGGCTGAGGATCCAGGCCAGAATGCATGATGGGAATGATGAGGTCGTCCATGTTTGGCATCACCAAAATTTTCTGAAAAGAGGAATCCAGAATAACAAGTGGTTTTGAATACCACTACCTGACTGGTGACACATCTGCTGGGAAGTGGCCTTGGCAGGAGCCACACTCGGGTCAGAGACCGGGGCTGTGAACAGAAGGTCCTGGGCTCCCGTCCCCTCGTCAGCAGCTGACCGTGCCTGGCCCTAGAGGATTACTAGCTCTGGATATCTCAGGACAGGGACAAGCAGGAGCAGTTTTTCTTCGCCCTGCCCACCTGTATGGCATCAAGGGTGGTCATGGCAGAGGGCAGGGACCAGCACTTTGAAGCCATTCAAAAAAGCAGCTCTTTGGGGGGATTTGGGTACCTAAATATCTGTGGGGATGTTTCTGCTCTTTGACCAGAGGTCTCAAAAGGGAGAGGCTGAAAACAAACCAGTGGGTAGTCTGTGATGGTAAATCTCCCAAACGTCCCAAAAACAGAGCAGATGGGTGAATTCAGCCCTTCTGGGGGGTGTCTGCCTGGGACTTGCTAATCCCCCCTGCTTGGGGCAGGGCTGCATGTGCTGGGAGGAAACCACTTTTCCTCAACCCCTCTAATGCTCAGAGCACCAGCCCTTGGAGCTGGTTACTTAGGTTGTGTTTCTTAACTGTCCAAAGCTGGACAGACCAGATCAGATGTTGGCTTTTCATAGAGATAATCCTGGCCCAAACTGAGGTCTGATTATTCCTGATTGCAGCAATGCCCGTGCTTCAGCAGGGTTTGCTGAGCCCTTTAACAGACCACGCACCTGAAATTCGTGCTGCAGCTTCTTCTCGATCCACTCGGTGACATGGAGGAATGTCACCTCCCGCTCGCCCAGCTTCGGGTGCACCTTCAGCTCCAGCTGGGGTGGGACTCGGAAGCTGTACCTGTGAGGGGAAAGGAAAGAGGCAGAAAGCATCACATCCCGAATATGTGGCACAGCCCATGTGGCCCCACTGCTGGGTTTTAGGGACCTGCCTCCTGGGGGGAGGTGGCTGGGTTGCAGCGGGAGCTCTGGGTCCCCAGATCCTGTCTTGGCCTGGGTGGAGACCAGGAGAAATGAGTCTGAGGTCTGTGAGTCCCTCCGGGAGAACAGCCGGGGCTTGCTGGCACCCCAGATGAACCCGAAACCCCAGAGCTGGCTCCTTGGCCGAGCCGCAGGGAGCAAGGGGAGCTGGAAGGAGGATGTGTGTGTGTCCCCGCGTGGGAGGAAGGAGAGCTGGTACCAGACACGGTCCGTCGGTGGTGGGGGGATGTTCACGGCCAAGGTGCCTGCCAGCTCCTGCACCTCCACTGTCAGTAGCAGCGGTGTGTTGGAAACCTCCTCGATCTTCTTTTTGATGAACTCGTTTTCAGTGGCCTTCTGGAAGTACTTGGACTTGGCGATCTTGTCCACAAAGCGCAGGATCTTCCGGCTCGTGCTGTTGCTGCTGATGTGGCTAAAGCGAGGGGAACCACAGCTCAGCAGCAGGGTGAGACCCAGAGCTGTTTTGGCATCCCCCAGCTGTCTGCCACAGCACCCCGCAGGGACAGGAGTCCCCTATGAAGAGCCCTTGATGTGCCGGGGTGCCTGTGTGTGCCTTCCCGGAGAAACCGGCCCCAAGCCCCTGTGCTGGCGTAGCACCGTGCCTCCCGCAGCATCTCCCCATACACCCCATGGCGCAGACCCCAAACAGCCCCTTACGCCTCGGTGCCAGGCAGCAGGATCCGCTCCCCCAGGGCTCCTACGGGCTCTGCAGAGGTGACGTCTTCCTCGTCGGAGGAGCCGGCGCTGGATGACTCCGCATCGCTGTCTGCCAGCAGGATCAG